GTGTGTGTGTGTGTGTGTGTGTGTGTGTGTGTGTGTGTGTGTGTGTGCGTGCGTGCGTGCGTGCGTGCGTGTGTGCGTGCGTGTGTGCGTGCGTGCGTGCGTGCGTGCGAGCGTGCGTGCGTGCGAGTGTGCGTGCGTGCGTGCGTGCGTGCGTGCGTGCGTGCGTGCGTGTGTGCGTGCGTGCGTGCGTGCGAGCGTGCGTGCGTGTGAGTGTGCGTGCGTGCGTGCTTGCGTGCGTGCGTGCTTGTGTGATATTATGATAATATGCATGATGTTATATTATCATAATATGATACTCTAAATAAATAAATTGAGTTCCCTCCTCATTCATTGCTATATTAAGTGTGATTTATTAAAAATTTTATTATTTAAAAAAATTTAAATTTTGTTGTGTAATTTTTAATCTACATTTTTTTATTTTTGTTTATTACCTTGATTATTTCCTATGTTTAATTTTAACTACACCCTTACAGGGTATATGTATTATAAACTTTAATATGTACTTTTACATGATTGCTAATGAATGTTTGTTGATGAATGATTGCTAAGAAATGTATTATGAAATACTGAAATTTGAAACTAGCACATAAAATACAATTGCACGGGTTGTGACGAAACACAAAATAATTTGTATTTCAATCTGTTGCTATTCAAATACAAAATGGCTGTAATTTCACCAGCTCCCTTACCCCTTAAGACCTTCGAATATACATTTTCGGGTCTAAATCGTGTATATTTTGTTTATTTAAACAAATCAACGTTCCGGGCCCTTTACAGATCCCATGGTCATATGGCTAACTGATGATGTTTGTTATAGAAATAGGAATCTTTGATGAAACTACATTGTGTATGTAAGTATAAAAAGGGTGGCTCTTATCCCAACTATCCAGAGACGGAGCAAAGTAATCGATTTACAACCAATCGGGGCCCAATCAAGGCAGTGAAAATAAATCAGACGGCACTATTTAACCTCCTATCTAAGTTAATTGGACGGTAAAGAGATTGTACACTAAATTGATTCGGAAGCGAAGCCAATTTAATTTGATTCCTAAGGCGGTGAAATAAACGATTGTATAGATTAGTTAATTCTTGTTGAGATACAAAATATGACACTATAGCTGGATACATTATATCGCCTCTCGTTTGGATAAATGTCGTATCATCATTGTCATCTTTCGGGGCATGTGAGAGGTTATAATAAGAATCGGATGTAGTTTGCACACTACATCCTATTCCTATTCCTTCCGAATTCGAGACTACATATATAGATCTAGAAAATTCGGACCCACTTCGGATACGCTTATGCACTAAGTCCCATTCGAATCCGAGAAAATACAAATATCGCTTGTACACCTAGAGGTAAAATGACACTTCGGACATTTCGGATCGACATTTCACGAATTCGGAACTGATGCCAATAGTGCTCGAACTCTAAATAATAATTAACCAAAAATAATAATATGTTTATTGATTCAGACAGCATTTTTCTTTTCTTTAAACTAATTTAATGGCTAGGTTTATGATTAAGAGGGAGCAGAGGAAAAATTCCTAATCTTCGATTTGATTTTAGATGGGTATATCCACTTTATATTTAAACATAAAATATTGTATGAGTAACTACATGATATATTCAAGCATAGACATTAATCAGAAACATAAAACAATAAAGTTTCCTCGATAGATAAAAATCAGGAAATGACCTCTAATTTTCACATTTTTTCGATTCATCCTCGAAATGCTACAGGTTATTAGGACAAAAATTAGATAAATTATATTTATGCATGATCGACAACTGTCACTACGGATTTTTTTTAATCCCTTTAGTTTTAGAGTTATTCCGGTAAAACGAATTTGGTACTTTAATGCGCAAAATTCAACATCTCCGCGTTGCATGTCACGCGAACTTCAGGCATATATTTGTTTCACAAATTTGGGCGGAGCCAACGTTAAAACTTTTTTGGCATCTTAAAAAAAGGACAATACAGGGTTGTTTGTAAAATACTCACAACCCTTCAGGACTATATTGTCAACGTGGTAACCTATCACAAACTCGATTTTTTTTCCCGTAATAACGTTTGTTCGTATTTTCATTACATCGAAAATCGATTTATAGATGTTTATCGCAAAGACACGATTAGGTTCAGTTAAGTTAGGTTTAAAAGAAAAAACATTTTCCTTTCAAAATTACTTTCGAAGTTATGACAATTCAAGCGATCGTTATTTCTGGAGAATGTCACATGTTCGGACTATTGATGGGTAACCTACTAACATCATAAACAACAATGCTAGTATCATGGCTTTTTATAATTCGTCAGACTTTACTTTTGTACAAAAATAAAAACATTTAAAAAGGTCGCTCTAAACGATGATAACTCTGTGCAAAACGCGGGAGTCGTCTGAGAGGACGATTGCGCGTTGGAACCTTACTACCAATATCTAATTATAACTTTTCTATTAAAAAACCGACCTCAAAGATTCGTGGAATTATATCTATTTACCTAGTTTCATTAAAATTGGTAACCGGAATGTGCGCGAAACCGAATTCAACCCTACTTTGCCACCCTAAGCGGTGGAAAATTTTCTTCAAATGTACCCTCTTTCTAACAAAAAATGAAACTACAGTCGCATTTTTTTATAGCCC